TGAATGTGGATCTTTGGTTATTCGGGTTTTCTCCCGCGTAAGATTGGAAGTATCTAGGCAACGTTTCGATGAAGTCTCATTCATCATCTTCAGGCTTCTGTCTTCAGCTCTGTGCTTCTCAGAGTGATGAATATATATATATGAATTTTTCAAAAGATGCAAAACAATGGTTGGCCCCCAAATGGACCCAGTGCAAGGAACCAGGGCAACATGACCTGCCAACAGCCTTTGACTGAAGGTTTAGCAACAATTCGTACAATGGTTTTTTTGAGTATTGTGAGAACGTATTGTGCAGTTCTGCGATATCTTTCAGAAGGGCACTTACCTGTTCATTACCTGTTCAATTGTGTTTGACCAGAAATACAATGAAGGGAAAACATATTGTAATCATTTATAATTGCTGCCACTTCATTCCTTGTTTCCTTCATTCCTTCCTTCTCTCTGTCCCCGTCCCATCTTTACTCTGCCCCTTCTTTCCTTCCTTCTCTTCCTTTCTCCTTCCCCTCTCCCTCGCTCTCCCTCCCTCGCTCCCTTCCTTCTCTGTCTCTCTGTTTTCTACCTTCCTTCCTCCCTCTCTTCCTCCCTCTCTCCCCCTTCCTTCCTTCCTTTCTTCCTCCCTCCCTTCCTCCTTCCCTCTCCGTCTCCTTCCTCCCTCCTTCCTTCTTTTTCACCTACCTTCCTACTTATCTACTTTCCTTCCTTTCTCCTTTTCCTCCTTCCTTCCTTGCTTTTCCCTCCTCCCTCCTTTCCTTCCTTCCCATTTTGCCTCCCTTCCTCCCCTTTCCTTCCTTGCTTTTTCTCCCTCCCTCCTTCCTTCCTTCCTTCCTTCCTGTTCAGCTCCACACCTTAAAGTACCTAAGAGTGAAAACACAATCAAGGGGACCCCATTCCCCCCCACCCCAACTTCCTTGCAAACAAGGCCTTCATGAGAAATTGGGGGGAGGGGGAGGGCGTCTTGGACACCGCCATCTTAACTCTCTCCTTCAGAGGAAACTGGGACAGCTGGACAAGGAAGCCCTGGAGCTGAGCAACAAAGTCCTCGGTGCCAATCCGGATTTTGCTACGCTCTGGAACTTCCGGCGAGAGACCTTCCTTCACCTGGAGAAGGAGGAGTGAGTAAGGAGGGGCCAGGTGTGCAAAGAGGAGACGGGGGTGGGAGGGGGTGTCTCCCTGTGGGTCGAAGTCAACCTGTCATCCCTTCCATCTCCTGCCAGGAGCCCAGAAGAGATGCAAGCCTTGTGCAAGGCCGAGCTTGCCTTCCTGGAGGGCTGCTTGAGGGTGAACCCCAAATCCTACGGCACTTGGCATCATCGTTGCTGGGTGATGGAGCACATGCCCGAACCGGACTGGGACAGGGAACTGGGGCTGTGCGGCAAATTTTTGGAGATTGACGAGCGAAATTGTGCGTAGTTCTTTTCTTTCTCTTGCAACGTCACTAGCAACATAACCTGGCATTAAGGAGAAATTTCCTGACAGGGAGAACAATTAGCCGGTGGAACAGCTTGCCACCAGAAGTTGCAAATGCTCCAACACTGGAAGTTTTTAAGAAGAGATTGGGCAACCATTAGTCTGAAATGGTGTAGGGTTTCCAACCTCCTGAGCAAGGGGTTGGACTAGAAGACCTCCAAGGTCCCTTCCAACTCTGCTATTCTATTCTAACGTGTTGACCCAACCTGGTTTATCTAGCCACAGTTAGCTGAAAGCATCCGGTTACCATTCAGACAAACATAATCATCACACAAACACATCAGGTGTTCAGCCGCCCTTTCTTTCTTTCTTTCTTTCTTTCTTTCTTTCTTTCTTTCTTTCTTTCTTTCTTTCTTTCTTTCTTTCTTTCTTTCTTTCTTCCTTCCTTCCTTCCTTCCTTCCTTCCTTCCTTTCTTCCTTTCTTCCTTTCTTCCTTTTTTCTTTCTCAAATTTACATAGCTGTCATTCTCTTATCTATGACTCTGGGCTGCTTACAAACAATTTTAGCCAATTAATGCAAGTTTTCCTGTCCTTCCTGGAGGATAAAATAAAGGCAGTGTTTCTCAAACATGGCGACTTTTAAGACATGCGGACTTCATCTCCCAGAATTCTTCTCTGGCTGGGGAATTCTGGGAGATGAAGTCCGCATGTCTTAAAAGCCGCCATGTTGGAGGAATAGAAGGAGGACGGAGAGATGGAGGGGTTGGTTGGTGGTCCAATTTAAGTGCCGACCCTTCTCTGTGGTGCCCCCTGCAGTTCATTGCTGGGACTACCGGCGTTTCGTGGTGCAGAGATCCAAGGTGCTACCCCAGGATGAGCTGGCCTTCAGTGACAGGCTGATCACCCGGAACTTCTCCAATTATTCTTCCTGGCATTATCGCAGCCTCCTTCTCCCGCAGCTGTACCCTGACCCCCAGCATCAAGGCCGGATCACGGAGGAAATCCTTTTGAAAGGTGGGAATAGGGAATGGATAGGTTGGGAGAGGGGAAACCCCCCTCCCCTTTATAAGAGGTCCAGGGGTGGAGGGGGGGCTGGCCTCCACAGGAGGAGAACAAATACAATACTGCATTACCAGGTGCTGGACAAAATGCTCTCAGAATGGCTGAAAGCTGGAGGGGAAATGGATTTCGGTTTCATTTGGCTGGGGAATTCTGGTAGTTCAAGTCCATAGGTGTTGGACAGACAGACAGACGCAGACAAGATGGCTGGATGGGTGGGTAGGTAGATACAAACAATTAGATGATAGAGAGAGATAAACTAATAGATGATACAGTAAATGATATAGAATTAGAGATAGATAGATGGGTAGATGGAGGGAGGGAGAGATAAATAATTTACAGATGAAGTAGAATTATAGGTAGATGGATAGATGATAGACGGATGACAGATACTTAAAATTGGATGGATGGGTAGGTAGGTAGATGCAAACAAATAGAATAGAAATAGAATAGATGAACTTTCTTTTCCCTTTGAATGTACACTAATCAGTATACATTAAAATGAAGTTTCTTTGCACACAGCTTAAAGGTTCGCCTGCACTATACACTACATAAATATGACAAGATAGATAAATAAATAAATATGAAATTATGTACATGCCCACATACTGTGTATTTTTGACACAGATAATAGATGCAAAAGAGATGAATTATTAGATTATAGATGATACAGATATGTGTGTGTGTGTGTGCTGAGAGAGAGAGATCTATATAGATAGATATTTCTGTGTGTATGTGTATTTTACATACATAAATACGTATATATATGAAAGAGAGAAAGAGATAAACAAGTAGATAGTTTATAGATGATACAGAATTATGGATGGATGGATGATAGGTAGACAGATAGACACCTAGATAGATGTTAGATATAGTTGAACTACAAAGGCCTTAAAAGTAGATGAGATTGAGGAATTGGTCTAAAATGGCCATCCATTTCCCTGTGCTCATTGCTTGCTACTTCTCCTCCAGAGGAAAATACAGCTGTATGAAAAAGTCCTGCGTGCTTTACGGTTTACGACATTTTTTGGATAGGCCATTGATTTTATGATATTTTACGCTAACTGCTATGCAAGTATTGTTGTATTTAAATAAATACTGGTGGTTTTTTAGTGAAAAGCATCAGCATTTTGCAATTTGGTGCTGTTTGGATAGGGATTGTAAATTTTCTTACTTCATTACAGTGCATGCTTAACAATGACTATGAAAACAGATTAATTTATGCATACCCAGTGGCATACGTGTTGCAATTACTAAGGCCGATGCTAGTGTTTTGTTAACACTTTTTATTGTTTGGTCCTGAAAAGGACCGTTTAGGTAACCAAACATGGTTACTAATATAAAATTGGCCAGCCCTTATTGCTTATCACCAGGCAGCATTGCTTCGGCATAGACTATATAAGCCTTTGCACATGATCTTTGGTGACAGTGTGGTGCCAGGCTGCAATAATGGACTCAGTCAGCTCCTGCTTGGTCTTCGGATGCTTCTTGCTTATTTTGTAAACAATCTTGGCCCACAAGTTCTCAATGGGATTCAAATCTGGTCTCTGAGCTGGCCAATCCAGGATTCGAACACCATGCTTCTTCATCCACTGCTGGACAGACTTGGCTAGATGACAAGGAGCCTTGTCATCCTGGAAGTAAAAGTCCTTCCCTACAAGTTGCTGAGCTGAAGGAAGCATGGTCTTTTCCAGGATTTCAACATATTGCTTGGAATTCATGATTCCCTGCGCAATTTGTATCTGACCAATACCAGAAGCAGCCCCGGATCTTCACATGCAATGGGTGCTTCAGATAAGATTCAGACAGCATGGCCTAAATTCTTCAGCTGGAAATCTTCTGACCTACTTATTGCACTGATTCCCAGTCAAGTAGAAATCGATCTCGTCACTGAAGATGACCTTGGCCCACTTGGCATACTTCTTGGCCCACGCACATCGACGAGAGCGGTGAGCATCTGTGAGCAAAGGTTTATTTCGAGCCCTGCAGCCTTTGAGGCCTCTGGCAAGCAGTCTGCGATGCACTGTGCTTGTGCACACTTTTACATCACGTTTCACCCCAAATTCTTGTAATCTGAGTTGAGGTGAGCTTCCTGTCAGTCATCAAAATGTGTCGCAGAGCCCGATCTTGCCGTTTTGTCGACTTTCTTGGTCTTCCAGAGCGGAGCCTGTCATCAGCTGAACCAGTTATTTGGTATTTTTCAACCACTCTGCTCACTGTGGTGCAATGACATTTCACTCCCTTGGCTATTTCTGTACAGGAGTAACCCTCTTCATGAAGCACAATGATGCAATGCCGCTGCTTAGGACTGGGGAAAGCAAAGGCCTTCATCCTTTCCCGCAGCCAGAGCTAAATTAAATTTCTCGATTTAAATTTAAATTTGATTGGCTCATAGATTTAGCCTCTGTGCATTTTTGATTGGTCATCCAAAACTCGTTGCTGATTGGCTACTTTCGATCCTCACGTTCTCAAAAATGCAAGCTGTGTTTGTTTTAGCACATACTCGCTCAAAACCTTAAAAAGACTTAAAAAGTTGATTAAACAAGCAAATTTCAGTTTCAAAACTGAAAGCATGCAGGACTTTTTCACATAGCTGTAAATCATATTTCTTAACTGGCGTTCTTTTCTCTCTCGATCATCACCTCACCCCATTTTTGCTTCTTTTTGGGGGGGGGTTTGGAATCTTTGAATTTTTTTGAGTCTCTGGAAGCCAAACATGATTGAAGGCTCATGCCAGCTGTCGTTGCCAAACCTTCCCAAAAGCAGCCGATCGTATCACAATTCCCAGCTTGGTTCGCTTTCTTCTTCCTCATCATCCGAAGAAACCCAAACTTTTATTTTTCTCTTCATTTAATTGTGCCATAAATCTTCTTCTTGGACACATTCCTTTATCCCATTTAGCGTTGAGTGACTTCATCAGATATTCCTTTTTGAAAGATGAGGGGAAATTTTGTTTTTCTTTTAAATGTCTGGTTAATAACTGTAGGAAGGGAGTTTTCCTCTCATTGTTATCTTCACAGATTATTTGTGGGCAATGAAATTTAGTTTTTTCCCCCCTCAAAAGTGTTTTTCAGGGAGGAAATCACTCCTTATTTTATTTCCCGCTTCAGCCTTCACACAGGCTATTTAACCTCCGTGCTTTCTTCACAACATGTAATACAGCTAGTCCTCGACTTACAACCGCCGTGGTTAAGCAGGTCGCACCTGATTTTGTGAGGGGGCTTGTTTGCTATGGGTAGGAAGGTAATCACAGCAGTTGTTAAGTGAATTGTGCAGTCGTTAAACGAGTCTGCCTTCCCCGATGGACTTGGCCTGTCAGAAGCCAGCCGGGAAGGTCACAAAAGGGGGGATCACGCTGTGACTGTCATAAATACATGCCAGTTATCAAGCCCCCGAATTTTAAGCACTTGACTGGGGATGCTGTGCAGGTCATAAGGGGGAGGACTGGTCATAAATCACCTTTTTTCAGTGCTTTTGTAAATTTGGTGGCTGAATGAATGGTTTTAAATCAACGACCTACCTGTTGTTTTTTTCTTCTTTCCTTCCTTCCTTCTTTTTCTTCTCTTCATTTCTCCTTTTGGTTTTCTTTTTTTTTCTTCCTTCTTCTCTCCTCTTCCTTTTCTTAATTTCTTCCTCTCTTTTTTCTTTCCTCCCTTCCTGCCTTCATTCATTCCTTCTTTCCTTCCTTCTTCTCTCCTTTTCTTTTTCTTTTCTTAACTTCCTTCTCTCCCTCCTCCCCTTCTTTTTCTTCTCTTCTTCCTGTCTTCTTTTTTCTTCCTTCCTGTCTATCTCCCTTCCTTTCTCTTTTCTGTTCTTAACTTCTTCCTTTTCCCCCTTCCTTTCTCTCCCCTTCTCTCCCTCTTCATTTTCTTCTGTTAATTTTTCTTTCTTTCTTCACTTTTCTCTTCTTCCTCTCTTTTTCCTCCCTTTTCCCTTCCTTCCTCTCCCCTTCTCTCCCCCTTCTTTTTCTTCTCAACTTCTTCCTTTTTCCCTTCCTTCTCTTTTCTCCTCTTCCTCTCTTCTTTATTTTTTCCTTCCTTTCCCCTCCTCTCCCCCTTCTTTTTTTCTTCCTTCTTCCTTTCTTTTTCCCTTCTTTCCTCTCCCCTCCTCTCCCCCTTCTTTTTCTTCTCTTAACTTCTTTCTTTTTCCCTTCCTTCCTCTTCTCTGTTCTTCTCTTAACTTCTTCCTCCCTTCCTTCTTTTTTCCTTCCTTCCTTCCTTCCCATCCTTTTCCTTTCTTCCATTCCTCTTCCTTTTGTGCCAATTTGAAACCCCCTCCTGCCTCAAAAACATATGGGCACCCCTTGCCGATAGGAATCCAGTCCAATGAATGTAAGTGGAGCCCTGCTTCACTTCTTAGCCAACCCCCCTCCAAAGACAATAATAATAACGTTTGCAGAGATTAAATAAACAGAGAATAAACTTTACAAATTCCTTTGGAGAAGGAGAACACTAAAAGGTAATTAATCATAGCCCTTTTCAGAGAGAGTGATGATTTCCGAGACAAGTTCCCTTTTAACCTCCTCCTTTTTTTTTTACTCCCCTTTTCAGCCTCTTTAGAAATAAGCAAAGGAACCCAAACTAAGATAGCCACACCTGCCTGGTCATGATCGAAATATGTTGAGTGGTTTCTGTTTGCAAAAGCCACTATAGCAACCGGTCTTGGTGCCAACCTTGGCATCAACGGTGCACTTACAACGCTTCCATTATTTTTTTCCCCCCCTGGAGCATTTTTACCTGTCTGCTGTTGTTGTTGGTCTGGCGTGGTGCTTTTGTTATAGGCAAGAAAAAAGGAGGACTCAGCTCGGAACAAACCACGATCCACATGGTCTTTTGGGGGTGCCCACCGACAAGAGGGATCAAAGAAAGTTTGCAGCTGCCAAAAAAGGCCAATGCAGTCCCAGGCTGCATTAACAGAGGGATGGAATCAAGATCATGTGAAGTGTTAATATCACTTTGTAAGGCCTTGGAATACTGCATCCAGTTGTGGTTGCCATGATGTTAAAAAAAGAGGTTGAGACTCTAGAAAGAGTGCAGAGAAGAGCAACAAAGATGATTAAGGGACTGGAGGATAAACACATGAAGAACAGTTGCAGGAACTGGGCATGGCTAGTTCAGGGGTCGTCATACTTGAAGACCCTTGGTCTAGTTTAATGAAAAGAAGGACTAGGGGAGACATGACAGTAGTCTTCCAATGCTTGAGGGGCTTCCCCAAAGAAGCGGGGGGTCCACTTATTCTCCAAAGCCCCCGAGGGCAGGACAAGAAACAATGGATGGAAACTAACCAGGGAGAGAAGCAACCTGGAATTAAGGAGGAATTTCCTGACAGTGAGAACAATTAACTCATGGAATTACTTGCCACCAGAAGTTGTGGGTGCTCTATCACTGGATGTTTTTGAGAAGAGATTGGACAAGGTTTAAACGGGATAGAGTTTCCTGTCCGAGCAGGGGGTTGGACTAGAAGACCTCCAAGATCCCTTCCAACTCTTATTCTGTTAAATAAAATTAAACTTTGTCTCTTTCCTTGCCAGAGGAAGAACTCATCCTGCAGTTCAGTCTAGACCAGGTTTTCCCGCTGGGTTAAAAGTCAGCTGCCATACTGGTAGTCCTCAATTTATGACCAAAATTGGAGAGTGGAAAATTGGTCGTTAAGTGGAGCAGTCATTAAGCGAGACAACACCCTAACCCTGCTGGCTTCCCCGTTGGCTGGGAGGATCAAAAATAACAATCATGTGACACACACACACACACACACACCCGGGATGCCGCAACCGTCATAAATACATGCCAGTTGCGAGCATCCAAATCATGATCCCAGAATTACAACGGTCATAAATGCGAAGACCGGTTGTTAAGTCACTTTTCAGTGCCGGATTTGCTAGAACTACTTCCAATGCAGCATTTTGGATGTGAAAATGTAAATGGATGCCTCTTCTTGTTTTTAACCATAAATGTCAGCCATTTCTTGGCAAATGCCAAGAGTTCCTGTTCTAACCCTCCATGTTTTTTATTATTGTTGATGTTAATAATATTAATGTTATTATTTAATTAAATTTATATGCTTCCCATCTCATTGTCAAGCAACCAGGCGGCTTAAAACGTCATAAAAGCACAATATAAACCGTGAAAAATATTTAGGAGCAAGATTAAAGACATTTTACTGAATCTTTTCTCTTTCAGAGCTGGACCTGGTGCAAAATGCTTTCTTCACTGACCCCAACGATCAGAGTGCTTGGTTTTATCACCGATGGCTTCTGGGCAGAGGTAGGAGCCGAGCGGCCATTTTGCTTTCAGGAGAATTCACCTTAAGGCAGATTCCTGGGAGGGGCGTTATTTCAGGCTTCCCCAGGATAGGAAGGGGACGAGAGGGGGGATTTATCTCGAGATAAATGAAGACTGCCCCCACAAAATCATCTGCTGAGGATATTAGAGGCTGGGAGACGTGAGTTGGTGGGGTCCTTGGTGGTCTCTAGGCTTGGGGGTTTCCTTGCGGACATCTCATGACCCAACTAGATAACATTGTCAGTGTAGCATTACCTACAAGCACTGATGGTGTTACCTAGTTGGTTAATGAAATGTCTGCAAGGAAACCATCAAGCGCAGAGATTACCAAGGGCCCCACAGTTCTCCTCCTCCTCCCATCTCCCTCATTCCAAAAAACTCCACTCCCTTGTAGCACTGATGATGTTCCCTAGCTGGGCCATGAAACGTCTGCAAGAAAACTACCAAGCTCAGAGAGCACCAAGGATCCCACAGTTCTCCTCCTCCTCCTCCTCCTCCTCCTCCTCCCATTCCGGAAGCCCCACTCCCTTCTGTCTATGGAGATTCTCAGTCATCCAAGTCACGGTTGTCCTAAAGGTGCTTTTTCAAGATAAACCTCCCAGTGGCTTCAGCCATTCTCAGAGAGAGTACCAACAACCAGATGACTGCAAAGGAATATCAGTCTTTCCCTCCTCCACCATTCAGCCAGAACAGAAGAAGCTTCTTGGATGAGAAGCGAAACGTCTTCAAAGAAAACTTGCCTCTTGAAAAAGCACCTTTGGGGACCCCTTCCCTTTGAGCACTATTGATGTTCCCCAGTTGGCCTGCAATTAAGTCACCCGCAGTTCAACCCTGTCCTACAAATATTCTGTTTTAGTGACGCTCTCCTGAATTTAAAGACTTTTGAAAGACTGGGGAATCCCAACTTTCAGAATTCCCCCGACAGCTAAAAATTCTGCAAGAAGTAAACGCCACAACCTCTGTAGAACGCTTCCAGTACGGGAGGCGTTTTAACAAAACCCATGTTCCACTCCCCGTATGGATGCCTTTGTTTCCCACTCTTAGGGGATCCCGAGCCAACCATCCGCTGCGTCTACGTCAATAGGGAAAACACCTCCCTGGCGGTAGCCTTCTCTCATCCTGTGGCGGTGAGTTCCAAAGACTCTCAAGAGGGAAAAAAAATTTTTTTTTTTCAGAAGTCTGCCGGCCGTGGTGACCGTTTCCTATTCTCCTTTTTTTAGGTGGCTCCGGCCTCACATGACCTCATTGTGTTCGGAGACGAGTCCCCGCTGGTAGTCCGTTGGCGCACTCCGGATGGGAAAAATAAACCCGGCTATATGTGGGTATCTTTTGAGACTCGGTTGGCCAAGGATGAGCCATTGATGAATTGGGGAGCAGAGAAACAAATGGGGGTGTTCTTTTAGTTAATGTATGCATAAAGTATCCAGGCTGCTTTTAAAAATAAACCTGTGCAAGTAATCCTTGAGTTACTTGTTTAGCGACCGTTCCAAGTTACAGCAGCAATGAAAAAAGTGAATCACGGCCATTTTACACCCCTAACGGCCATTGCAGTTACCTCAGGGATCCATTTATTCTCCAAAGCATAGAAGGCAGGACACGAAACAATGGTTGGAAACTAAGCAAGGAGAGAAGCGACCTGGAATTAAGGAGAAACTTCCAAACAGGGAAGACAATTAACCAGCGGAACTGCTTGCCACAAGAACTTGTGGGTGCTCCAACACTGGAAGTTTTTAAGAAGAAACTAGACAGCCATCTGAAATCATATAGCTTCTCCTGCTTGAGCAGGGGGCTGGACTAGAAGACCTCCAAGGTCCCTTCCAACTCTATTGTATCCATGGTCATGTGTTCAGATTGGGAGATTTGGTAACGGGCTCATGTTTATGACGGTCATACTGTCCCGGGGAAATCACGCAATCCTGTTTTGCGACACCTGACGAGCGAAGTCAACAGGGAAGCCGGATTTACTAAACAACTGTAGTGATTCACTAAACAACGGTGGCAAGGAAGGTCGTAAAATGAGGCCAAGCTCACTTTAACAACTGGGTTGCTTAGCAATAGGGGGTTTTGGGCTCAGTTGCGGTCGTAAGACGAGGATTGCCTGCCCACTGTAGGCTTACACTCAAGGGCTGTTTTGTGTCTTGCAGAACTCCAGGAATTTTTTAATTTGTATCTTAGCAAATTAGGGTGGATTTAATTGCTCTCCAGAGACCAGTTTAAGGGAGATCCATTTTGAGAAGAGAGATGGAAGATCAAAAGAAGAAAGGAGTTGGGAAGAGATTAAATCAGACAGAGTTTGTACACCTGGGTTACCTGATGCAGGATGGACATGCTGGCTGGGGAATTCTGGGAGTTGAAGTCCTTCTCTCTTAAAATGGTGAAAGTTGAGAAACATCGCTTTAGGGTTTTCCTAAAATGAAAAAGAAAAGAATTCCCACAGAGTCTGTTCAGCAAGATTCCTGCAGAGGAATGTGTAGGATCAAAGGAAGTTCCAACCATGGTGATTAATTACTATTTTGAACCCACATTTTGTGTATTTTAGCTTACTTCGTGCGTCCAACAAACTTGGCGTGGTCCAGCAAAGAGGCAGCTGCTCCATTTGACAGTAAAGAATTTTCAAGCTGTCTGTTCACAGGCTAAGCGTATCACTACCGTTGTTAAGTGAATCGCACGGTCATTAAACAAATCCAGCTCGACTTTGCTTGTTAGAAGCCAGCTGGCAAGGTCACCCATGCCAATCTTGTGACCCTAGGCTCCTGCCATTGTTCTTGGATGCCCGTTTTAATCACGTGACTGTGAAGACGTTGCGATAGTTGTAAAGGCGAGGACCTGCTGTAAATCACCTTTTTTTCCCCCCGTGGCATTGTAACTTTGGTCAGTAAACAAATGGTGGCAAATTTGAAGCCTACCTGTACATTGGTCATATATAATACCGAGAATAGAGGAAATAATTCCAAAAAATGATACAAGCTGACAAAGAGATGGAAAGCAATAGCAATCATCTCTAACACGGAACAAATGGAATATTTTTTTAAAAAAATGGGCTCTTAAAAATGGGAGAACTGTGGATTCAAAACTGAGAGATAGAAGCTGTGGCAGAGGAAAATATTTAGATTAAATAAACATGATAAAAAGGAGTTACAAGATACCAGAGGAGAAGCAGGAAAAATTCACCAAAAAGTTAATAAGAGTTGAAATTCTAAAACGGACAAGAAATGATGGACAGATGTACATTTTTTTTAAGTGGTTACTTTATTATGTGTTAGAAAGAAGGAGAAGAAAATAAAAATTGGGAAAATACCCTGTTTCTCTGAAAATAAGACCCAACTGGAAAATATCCCTAAGCATGATTTTTCAGGATGCTCGTAATATAAGCTCTACCCCCCAAAATAAGCCCCAGTTAATCCTAAAACTGATGCATTTAGACCTGTATTTCCCCAAAAATAAGACCTAACCAGAAAATAAGCTCTATTGCGTCTTTTGGAGCAAAAATTAATATAAGACACGGTCTTAATTTTCGGGGAAACGTGGTAATATATGTGGGTATATGCATAATTCTATATCTGTATTTATTCTGTTATATTATGCAGTGTATATTGGAGGTGGTGACCCTTTGAGAGCTATATGCAATTAAATTTTGCTTTAATGTATGCCCATTAGTGTACATTCAAAGTGACAATAAAATTACTATTATTCTATTTTTCCTGGGGATTCAGAAACCAGCCCCAGATCTAGAAAATCTAAAATGACGATTTTAGCAGAAATATGAGGGCTGCAAATTTGAGGAAGGAGCGATTGTAATGCTCAACGTACAACCACAATGGAGCCCCAAAATTTCCATCGCTAAGCAGGATAGTAGTTAAGGGAGGTTTGCCCCATTTTATGCCCTTCCTTGCCACGGTTGTTAAGTGAATCAATGCGGCTTTTAAGTTAGAAACACGGCTGTTCAGTGAACCCGGCTTTCCTTGACTTTGATCGTCGGAAGGTCACAAAAGGGATCATGTGACACTGCAACCATCGTAAATACGAGTAATTTGCCAAGCGTCTGAATTTGAATCACGTGACCATGGGGAATGCCGCAATGGCCGTAAGTGTGGGGGGAAAAAACAGCCAATAAGTCACTTGGTTCTATATGCCACTGTGACTTCAAATGGTCACTAAATGAACTGACGTAAGTCGAGGACTGCCTGAATAAAAAAAAAGGTGGGGCCAGGCAGCAGAATTATCCTTTTTCCAGAATTCTGGTTTGTTTGTTTGTTTTTCCTTAAATCCGGCCATTTTCCCAGCTGTGTGACCTGCCAACCTCTGCTCTCAACGACCACTGGCCTCAACACACCTTTCGCGTCCTCTGGGCCGAAGGACACGTGCAGAAGGAATGTGTCCTCTTCAAAGGTAATGTGACCGCACCCCTATCCTCCTCAACCCCAATTTTCCTGCATCCGCAGCCGGACGCCTGACCCTCTCCCCACTTCCCCTCCGCAGGCCACAAGGACTGCTGGAACCAGGATTCGGTGACAGAGGAACAGGTGTTCAGGTAAGAGAGGTGGCCAAAATATCAGGATGGGGGCCTTGGGCTGACGCTAAACAAGGGAGAAGTGACTTGGGGAGGGATCCCGGGAAAAAATGCAGGCCGGAGTTCGACAGATGGAGCATTGAGGAAGGGAGGCGAATGGTGAACGAAAGGAAGTTGTGAACTGGTTGGTTTCTCAGCAGATGTGGGTTTTTTCCTAATCTATGGGATGGAAACTGCCTTGACAAAGCACTTCCCAGAACGCTGCCTGGGGAACTCTGGGAGTTGAAGTCCGCCTGTGCTGGCTAATGAATTCTGGGTGTTGAAGTCCAAATGCTGGCTAGGAAACTCTGTGAGTTGGTCCACCCAATCCTGGCTAATGAATTCTGAGAGTTGGGCTGGGGAACCATGGGAGTTGAAGTCCATCCATGCTGGCTGGGGAATTCTGGGAGTTGA